ATATATATATATATATATATATATATATATATATATATATATATATATATAAACTGTTGAAATATATATATATATATATNGTGCAAACTGATAGTATCTGGGCAAAGGTCTCCTGGAGACCCGGAATCACAATGGGCACTGCCAGTGCCTGTACAGGTGCTGCTGGAATGCCTGCAGCTGGGGCCTGATCCTGAGCCGGAGCAACTGGTGGAGCAACAGGTGCTGCCCTCACGGCTCTGCCCCTACCACGACCGCGACCGTGACCGCGCCCACGGCCTCTGGTGCCCTCAGTAGGTGGTACCGGTGGGCGTCCGTCTCGTCCTGTAGCACGGGTCCTCGCCATCTGCGAGAGGATAGAACACAGAAGTTTAGTTCCCGGATCAACAAAATCGCACGACAAGAATTTCAAGAATGTGAAGTTTTCCTAAGGGTTCTGCAGCCTTTCGAGGATAAATACAGACGTCTCCGTACCGATCCGCGAGACTCTACTAAACCTGCTCATGACTCATGAGACCTAGTAACCTAGGCTCTGATACCAACTTGTCACGACCCAATTCCTGCCCGGTCGTGATGGCGCCTCTCGTGAAGACAAGGCCAGCCACCAGAACAATCAACACTGCTTTTGACAATTTCTTAGCGTAACAGGTTTAAACCATGGATACTGATTAATCACAAGTACGGAAATAAACATAACATAACGGGGAAAACCATCCCAAACTCAGCCCGATGATCGGGGTGTCACAAGTCACGAGCTACTACAGAGTTGATAAAAATACTACAAGTCTGGAAACATAGTTTGAAGATGAATAAAATATGCAGAAGATAAGGAAGAACGGGGCTGTGGACGTCGACAGCTACCTCATCTCTCCTAGTCCGCCTGGTCTGGAAGGAAATCAGCGCTCAGGTACGAACTCAGCTGTGCCTGTCTCTGCACACATGGTGTGGGAAGTAATTTGAGTACTCCGACCCAGTGAGTAATAAAATTAAATAACGACTGAGAACATAAAATCCCACAAGGGCACAAATAATGCTATCTCAAGCAGCAACATCAGATAAACAGTAGAAGCCAGTGAAATATAGGAAGAAAAATCTTTTTGAAAACAATCAATAAAACAAGTATGCTCAAGTATGGTCAGCCATTGTTACCTGACCGGTCAGCCATTGTTACCTGACCGATCAGCCATTGTTACCTGACCAAAAGCGTATTACAGTGCCATTGTTACCACTGGTCAGTCATTGTTACCTAACTGGTCAGTCATTGTTACCTGAACAAACACGTATAATAGTGTCATTGTTACCACTGTTCAACATTTAATCACTCTAGATGCGTACCCGCACTCACTGTGGGTGTGCAGACTCCGGAGGGGCTCCTACAGCCCAAGCGCTATCAACAAGGCCTGAAAGCCTGAACAATATCAATACGAGGCCTGAAAGCCTGCTCACAATACACTCGAGGCCTGAAAGCCTCCTCACAATACACTCGAGGCCTGAAAGCCTCCTCACATCACTCAGCATATCCTCACATATGGCCCTCGGCCTCAATCAGTCCAAAAATAATCATAAGCCCCTCGGGCAATAGTAAAGAAACAATAATGCTCAGCTCAACAGTAGTTCAAATATCAGTTAGGACTCAAGGTTTGAGTAAAAATATAGCTGAGTTTATGAGACAGTGTAAATCACATGGACTAAGTTCAAATAATATCTCAAACAGTGAGGAAAACAGTGATGATAGTTCATAAAGAGTTCAAACAGTCGGCAATGAGCCCCAAATATGGCAATAAGCCCATATCATAGTGAAAACAACAAGTCATTGCTAATACGCGGTAAAATATCATCCGGACTGGACCAAGTCACAGTCCCCAATAGTAAATGACCCCGCGCTCGTCATGGAGCGCGTGTCTCATCTCAACATAGCACCAAGTTGTGCAAGTCCGGGGTTTTCAAACCCTCAGAACATCATTTAAAATCATTACTCACTTCTAGCCGGCCAAAAGTCTAGCTCGCTATGCCCTTTTCCCCTCAAATCGACCTCCTCGCGCGTCGAATCTGATCAAAACCACAAGGAATACATCACAATAGGCAAATGGGTCATAACCCAATCGAAAAAACTCGAAAAATATCAAAAATCATGAAGTTGGCAAAACCCGAGCCCGGGCCCACTTCTCGAAAAATTATGAAATTCACATCACCGGATTCCTCGTCTCGCCACGAGTCTATACATATCAAATTCATAAAAATCGGAGTTCAAATGCCTCTTCAAATTCCAATTTTTCATTCCAAAAACCAAGCCCTAGTTCTTCCAATTTTTACCCAAGTTTCTAAGAATTAAAGGTTGATTCTCCAACAAAATGATGTTTCTAAGTCACGAGATTTACCTCCAATCAATTCCCGTCAAAATCCCCTTCAAACTCTACCAAAAAGCTCTCAAGGTGGTTCAAAAATGGTGGAAAATGGCTAACCTTCGTCGAACAAAATGATTTAAAAGCCCTACTGACCAGCAGTTATTTACTCTATGCGAACACGGTTAAACCTCCGCGTTCGCGATGAAGAAAATTACTTTGACCAAAAATTACTCTACGCGAACGCGGTACCCAACCCGCGATCGCGATGCTCCAGGTCTTATAACTACGCGAACGCGTCCTACTCCACGCGAACGCGTTTCACAAACCACTCCTCTTACGCGAACGCGGTCAGCCCCTCGCGAACGCATTGAACAACTTAGGCAGGGCCCCTGGCCCCTTCTACGCGAACGCAATGACACCCACGAGAACGCGATGCACTGGCAACCCATCTCTCCGCGAACGCGTTCTACCCCTGCGAACGCGATGACCAAATCTGGGCTGCACCTGCTGTGAATTTTCTGCAGCAAAACTTAAGTCCAAACTTCCCGTTTAATCATCCGAAATCACCCCGAGGCCCCCGGGACCTCGACCAAAAACACCAACCTACCCCAAAACATCATACGAACTTGTTCCAATCATCAAAACACGTCCAACAACACAAAAATCATCAATTCACCACGGATTCAAGCCTAAGTTTATCAAATTCTTCCGAAACTCACATTCGATCAAAAACCCAACCAAACGACGTCCGAATGACCTGAAATTTTACCCGCACATCCAAAATCACGTAACGAAGCTACTGCAACTCTCGGAATTCCATTCCGACCCCCGGATCAAAATCTCACCTACCAACCGGAATTCGCCAAAATTCAACCTTCGCCAATTCAAGCCTAATTCCACACCGGACCTCCAAATTCAATTTCGATCGCGCTCCTAAGTCACAAATCATCCCCCGAAGCTACCCAAATCACCGGAATTCACATCCGAGCCCTCTAACTATATAGTCAACTTCCGGTTGACTTCTCCAAAACAAGCTTCCTTCTAAGAGGCTAAGTGCCTCATTTCCAACTAAAACCAATCCAATTCTACCCGATCACCTCAAATACCGATACTGAAATGTAGAGAAACATAATATGGGGGAAACGAGACGGGAACTCACGTGACGACGGGCCGGGTCGTCACAGTAAGCAGGACTGCAAACAATAGGTAGACGATCCAATTACAATCACACTCCAATAGGCTAATGAAGCACTCATTGTCAATGGCAATGTCTTCTTCTTTAATTCTTTTACAATAAGCAAGCTAAAATACAAATTGGGGATCCTTAACCAGTAATAGAAGTTCAGTTAATATCAATTCTGCATATAGTTTTGCTTCAGCCACCAAGTTAAATAATTTTTTTTAGCAAAAAGGTATTAGGAACTACCCAGATCTGCCTAGTCCTACCCCATAAATAAATTATAATGACGCTGAAACTCATGATGCTAAGAAGTTGCTTCATAACGGATAAATATAAATATAATAATTCTTAACGGGTTAATAATTTATCCGATAAGAAAATTGAGTAATCGCTCCTGAACCGATAAATCTTTAATTATAAAATTTTAATCTGTTCACCAACCGTTAATTCGATAACCCAATACCAATAAGACAATAAGCTACTTTTACGGTTTGATTTTGAAAAGCCCTCCTCTAAATGGATTGGATTTACTAAATGAAATCTTGAAGACCGTACTGGATCGTAATTTTGTTAAGTTGGCTGATTTTTAGCCATGATCGAAGAGGTTAAGAGCAGAAGAAGAATGCAGATAGAACAATGAGAAATCGATAGCTTCTAGATTGATCTAATCTACATGTAGTTACATATTGAAGCTTAATTCTAAATAGCTACTGTAGCTAACAATATATACAACTTCCTAACCGACTAAATTAACCAACCAACTAACTACAATGTACAATTGGCCTCAGCTAATGTCCAGCTCAGCATTAGTGCACTGTAGTGCATCTATCTAGTTCCTTCACACCCCTCCCCTCCCATGCTAGGAGAGATGAAGATATTCTTCATTCCTAGTTTGGATAGAAGATTACAATGTTGAGCAATAGGAAGACCCTTAGTCAAGATGTCAGCATGTTGCTCTCATGATGGCATAAAGAGAGTGCCCACAACCTTGATGAATCTTCTCCCGAATGAAATGACAATCAATGTCTATATGT